ACGAATTTTAAACCGTTCTGTTAAGTGTTTTCTTATTAGTTTTGGTTTCGTTTTTTTTTTTCGTCAAATAATTTCAGCAGATCTTGTAGTATTGCAAACTGACTTTTTCAATAGAGTACACTGCTTGGACAGTTTCAATTGAATATAGATTGTGTTCACTTCGCTTTACTGCTGTATATGAAAGGAATCGTTCACCCCAAAATGAAAATTTGCTGATAATTTACTCACCCTTAGGCCATTCAAAACATAGATGAGTTTGTTTCTTCATCGGAACATATTAAGCATTACGTCACTTGCTCACCAATGGATCCTCAGCAGTGAATGGGTGCCGTCAGAATGAGAGTCCAAACAGCTGATAAAAACATCACAATAATCCACAAGTAATCCAAATAATTTGTAATAAACAAATCCTTCAAGGAAAGATGGACTTTTTCACTGGAGGAAGTGTTGTTATGGATTATGTACTAGTATTTCAGTCGGAAACAACAGTTTGAAGTAAAAAAAAAAAATAATAATGTTTTGATGGATTTGATTCTTACAAACACACAGCTTTTCACTTCACAAGACATTAACTGATGGACTGGAGTGGTGTGGGTTATTGTGATGTTTTTATCAGCTGTTTGGACTCTCATTCTGACGGCACCCATTCACTGCAGAGGATCCATTGTTGAGCTATGTAATGCTAAATTTCATCAAATCTATTCTGTTGAAGAAACAAACTCCTCTACGTCTTGGATGGCCTGATGGTAAGTAAATCATCAGCAGATTTAAAAAAAATTTTGGGGGTCCTTTAAAAATGTATTTTGTATAGCGGACCATGAGATTTGCCTTCAACAGTCTGAGCAATAGATATGTGTAAAAGAACAATGTTTTCGTAAGACCTCAGTTTTGAAGTATTCATATTTCAGTGCATGCCAGTGTTGTCATTACACTACATGTGATGTTGCACATGTGTACCTTATGGAAGAGTCAGGCCATTGGATAATTTACATCCATTTGAGGTCAGATGGCCCTGAAGTCTGTGAAATATAGGATAAGACTTCAATTTACCCTCATTTTTGCTTCGCATTTCTCATCAGCTGTAGTAGATATTCATTGTTAGTGAACATAATCAACATCACAACTTTCAGGCCTTATGGATTTGAACAAGTAGGCCTACTATATTGATCTGAAACCCATTTAGATTGCATTGAGATAGTGAGTGGTTGCATTTTTCAGTTTTTTAAACACTGTGTGAAAATGCTTTTATTTATTCGTATAATATGTGACAATAGGCTGAAGTTTCAAATTAGGTTGACTTGGAGGCTCGGTAAGGGACCATTCCTGAAATATTTGGACAGATCTTTCATGATAAATCTAGCATTCTGTTTAAATACTAAAATGTTTTTTATTATAAAAAATATATAAGATTTGTTACAAAAATAAAAGTGCATAAAGGATATTAGCAGCAGGTTTGTACGTAATGTGTGAGAACAGCCTGCTTATGTTTCAAGAATGTAGCAGAACTCCAACCCTCCATCAAGTTATTATCACTGATTATTATTTTTCATGGTGTACTTTGATTATCTGCAAACCATATGTAAAAAAAAATTCTGCACCAGTTTATTAAAAATGTTTTTTCTAAACAAAAAGTCTCATAAATGTCCAGCATGAGTGAAATCAGGAAAGATGGGCTGTTGCACAGACTTTAAACTTGAATGCTCTTCACCGTTATAAAGGCTGTTTCACAGGCTTCTGTCCATATTTTCTTGTCTGCTATAGTGTTGAGAACTACAGCAGTTTCCAACGGTGCAATGAATAGCCAATACAACCCATCTATGTAATAAGAACTTGTGTTTTCGGTCTTCTGTGGGATCAGGGTTAAGTCGGCTTCAGAGATTTTGTTGGACCTGGATTTGGCGCTGGAGATGATCTTGCTAAGTTTTTCTTGAATAGAATATGATTTCTTGGATCAAGAGTGCATTTATTTATTTATTTTTTAAATTACTATGACTATAAATTTTGTACCTGTACTTATGAAGATTTTAGGTAATGCTACGTATGAATAATATTGCACAACCTCTTTGCATATTCATTTATTTCAATCAAATGAAAATTATTTTTAATGTAATTGTGCACAGGTAGATTCAGACGGCCAAAAATACTCATTATATTATATGCATAATATCATCTATAATGAAAAAAACTGATTCATATGTTGCTTGCGAAACATTTTACTCATCAGAAAAAAAAGAACCTTCAACTAGAAAACTAGCTTCTTTTTAACAACTTCCAAAACATGAAGGTGAAGCCCTACATTTGTTCTTGTTTGTTTCCTTGTATAACACATAATAAAATAATCCTTTGAAATAGTTTTTCTTTTTTTGGAAAATAATTTATCCCTTTATTGCATATTATTCACCAAATCAAATTCTGTGACAATTACAGATCAATATGAACTGAAGAATGACACACTGAGTTTGCACTATATGCACTAGAAAGTGAGCATGCTGCTAAAAGCAGACTACATTTAAAAAAAAATCAATGGATGCTATTAAGGTTATTTGACAATCTGACAAATTAATATTCCATCGTAACATAAAAACTACAAAATCGAACCTGAAAGAGTATTTACACAGCTGAAGACCTAGTGATGCTCAATTACATTTCCAGCTACAATTTGGTTCAAGCTTAACAACACAGATTGTGTGCCCACTGTAGACAGTCACAAATACAAGCTGTAAAAACACAAGCAGTACAAAGATTACTCACATCTTTAAACTGAACCAATCCAAGATGCCCAAGTTCACTGATGCAATTGTGAGCCAATTCGGTTTGAAAAAACAGCTGCACGAGACACATCTCCTCACTACGAAATAAAGAACTCATTCTGGAGTTTGTTCTGGATAGTTTGGAGGAACAGAAGCAGCTCATACTGCTGGTTGAGCAGCAGTGATTGTCTGGTTTTTGTAAGTCAGTCTATTAAATTTCTGTCTGTGAGATCAATAGTGTTCTCGTGTGGCCTCGGGATCTATATTGACACCACTAGTGCAGCTGAGCCACCCAGACCAAATTATGATTAACAACCCTGCAGCACAGCATGCATTTAGATATGAGGCATCTACTCCAATTACATACATATATTTATACATAAATGTTATACCACAAGCCAAAGGTTCTCTCACAGCCACATTTCAGGATTTACTGCGTATTACTGCATTGTCTGTATTTTAATCCTGTAATGGTCCCTCGTGTGTGGAACTGTCATTAAACAGCGTAAAACGTCATAATAGACCACAATTCAAAAATGGATGACATTTAGTGCATCTGGGGGAAATAATCCATTAATCTGCATTTCAGAGATAATAGATGAAAATGGCAAATTTATGAATATAGATTGAAAACATCTGAGGTGACTAAAAGCACTGCTGATGCATGTCTCAGTGCATCATTATAACTGTCACCAAATCAAAACATTTACAGTGCAATTCAGCATGCATAACTTTATATATATATATATATATATATATATATATATATA